ATTCTTATGTCTAATTTGACATAAGTGAGTTCATCTCATCTTTCATGGAAGACTCCCACTTGATTGAATCCTCACCTATATTGCTTCATCATAGCACTCTGGTTCGCCATTGTCAGTCAGCAATAAGTAGTACAAAGAAGGCGAATAACGCTGGGTTGGTTTAGGAATTCTGGAGGAGCATCTTAGTTCCAATGTGCTTGGTTCTTCTTGAACTGCTTCAGGACTGATCTGAACATCATTTCCAGAAATCTCCTCAAACTCAATAAATTTCTTTGTTTCAGCTTTGGTATTGGAGCTACTTGATTCTATGGTTGATTTGTATTTGTACATCACATTTTTATTGAAAATGACATCTCTGCTTCTGATGATCTTTCGATTTTCGTAGCCCCAAAACCGATAACCGAACTCATCACCACCATAACCAACAAAGACACATTTATTGGACTTGGCATCAAGTTTACTTCTTTCAGCAGCATTTATGTGTACATAAGAAATACAACCAGACACTTTTAAGTGTGAAAGATTTATATCTTTCTTGCTCCAAACTTTCTCTGGTATTCCACCGTTCAAGGGAACTGAGGGCCCACGGTTGATCAGGTAAGATGCAGTGTTGATAGCTTCAGCCCATAGAAATTTAGGCAATCCGACATGTATCCTCATGTTTCTGGCATGCTCATTCAGAGTTCTTTTCATGAGCTCTGCTACGTCATTCTGCTGCGGTGTCATGGGAACTGTTATCTCTATCTTGATCTCATTGTTTGCGCAGAAATATCTGAATCTACTGTTTCTGTACTCTCCTCCATTGTCAGACCTCAACCGCTTGACTTTCAAACCAGTCTCATTTTCCACCATGGTCTTATATTTTCTGAAGGTATCAAAGGCTTCTGATTTCTTCTTCGGAAAATAAACCCACACCTTCCTTGTAGAATCATCAATGAAGGTGACATAATATAGTGAGCCTGCAAGGGATGAAACTGGAGATGGTCCCCATACATTAGTATGAATCAACTCTAACTTTTCTGCCTTGGGTGTCTTGCCAATCTTTGCAAAACTGACTTTCGTTTGTCTGCCAAATATGCAATCTTCACATAGTCCTACATCTATATTCTTTAGATCTGGCATATTCCCTTTTGACAAAAGTGTCTTCATCCCTTTCTCGCTCATATGGCCAAGCCTTTTGTGTCATAGGTTTGATTTTTCATCAGCATCTGTTACTGTAATGATATTCTCTAAATTTGAGGTTATATAGAGAGTACCAGTCTTCTTACCACGAGCAATGACGAGTGCTCATTTGGTAATCTTCCATTCACAGCCTGAAAAGGTTGTAATATATCCTTCCCATCAAGCTTTCATACAGAAATCAAATTTCTTTTGAGGCCAGGAATATGTCTCACTCCTTTCAGCTTTCAGGTGGTCTGGTTTGGCAACTTTAATCGGATGTCTCCCTTTCCGACGATCTTCAAGGTTTCATCATCAGCTAGACGAACCTTCCTAAAGTCACCACTAACATAGTTCTCCATGATTTCTTGGCATGGGGTGGAGTGAAAAGATTCCCATGAATCCAAGATCCATGATTCAATCGGACTGTTGACGCTTAGAATCATGGCATCACCTGTCTCCTCTGTCATGTTGGCATATTCCTGTGCGTCGGTATCTTTCTTCAGTGCTCAGAAATCTCTTTTAAATTGACCCTTCTTGCCGCAATTATAACAGGTAAAATCTTTTTTTCCCGTTCTGGATTTCGATCTGTCAGGATTTGAATTTCTTTTTGAAGTTCTCCCTCTAGACTCCGTGTGCAAGACTGAGGAGGTTGATGCTTCACCCGATTCTCTCCGTCGAATTTCTTCACTCAATACCAGATCCCGAACATCGTCAAATTTCAATTTGATGTTTCCCGATGAACTGCTGACTGATGCAATAGTAACATTCTAACTCTCTGGTAGAGATGATAAGAGAACTAAAGCTTGAACTTCATCATCGATTCAATTTCCATGGAACTCAACTGGGTTGTGATTGTGTTGAGTTTATTTAGGTGTTGAGCCACTGATTCCCTTTCCGCCATCCGCAAATTGAATAATTGTCTCATCAAGTGAACTTTGTTTGAGGTTGATGGCTTCTCATACATATTGGAGAGAGCCGCCATAAGACTCGCCGTGGTCTTTTCTTTTGCTATGTTAAAAGTAACATTTCTGGACAACGTGAGTCGGATAACTCCGAGGTCTTGTCTATCGAGAAGAGCCCAGTCTTCATTCTTCATGCCATCCAGTTACTTTCCTGAGAGAGGTTGATATAAATTTTTCTGGTACAGAAAATCTTCAATCTGCATCTTCCAAAAGCCAAAGTCTGCATCATCGAACTTTTCAATTTTCACATTCCCTTCGTCTGCAGCCATCGCTCCCACTCGAATCTGGCTTCGTTTGGATCGTTTCTGACAATTATTGCGAACCACCGTGTATTAGAACACCTCCGTCAACAAATTCGTATCGCTGACAAAATTTTACTATTCACGAAATTCACTATTCATGTGAATAGTAATAAATAGTTACCTCGCAAAAAAATTGACAAAATTCACAACCAAAAGCTCTGATGCCAGTTGTTGGGAAATAAAACGAGTAACAGTAATTTTCCTATAACCATATTAGTGAGAATGTGAAATAAAAGCGAAAAAATAATACACGAAATTGATAACGAAGTTCAGCCAATTATGCCTATGTCTCCGGACTCCTGCAGATCTTTTACTGAAGAGAGAAAATTTACAGTTGTTTACAAAACACTCACAACTCACAAGAAATCTCTCTAGTATTGGGAAAAAGAAATGATTTGTGATGATTTTGAAACTAAATGAGTTAAGGTATTTATAGTTGAAGCTTAGAAACTAATATCGTAATTAACCCTATTTCAATTATAATTAAAAATTGGACACCGAATACGGTATCCACCCTTTTTGAAATGTGTATTTACAGTGCTTCCTTTGCTGAAAAATCAAACCCCTTTGTTGACTTTTTCTAACATCTAACTACCAACATTCAAATAAAATGAATAAAACATCAAACATTTAAATGTGTTACCACAGTCGATAAAGTCAAGGAAAAAAGCATAGAATTTGATACTTTACAGCTATAAATCTCAAAAGCTTATTTCATTGTTCCATAACAATAAGTAATTAACAAGTGTTATTGATTGATAGCCATAAAAGGTTCATTGAACCTGGATATACAGACAAAATAATATAGCCCTTCTTCCATGTCAAAATCTATAAAAAATGTTATAAATAATAATTTTCAAGCTTCATCTATGAATCAAGGGATGGGATGGTCTTTTACAGGATTCGACCGGTTGATCGGACTTCATTTTATTGTGTTGGTTTTTATTTTAAAATTTTAAATCTAAATCGAGTTTTTAGATTTTTTTTAAAGATATGATTAAGTTGGGTTGAATACAAATTTAAGATGAAAAAAAATCTAACCCCATATAATATTATAATTATTTTTATATAATAATATATCTTTTTATTTTATTTTTGGTATAATATTATCAAAATGATTATTTTGATCTATATTCTTTTTAGAGTATTTTGGCACACAACATTTTATATTAGGATAAAAAGGCCCTAATCGTTTGTTAGAATAGTCACTTTGGCTTTTATTCTTTTTTTGGAACATTTTGATCCTAATGTTTCATTTTATGATTAAAATAATTCTATTTTATAAAACCAAGCGATCTCAGTGGTTAAGAGGTTTGTTATGTTCAAACATCGCAAATAATAGTGGTGTGAACATTCGTTATCAAATGATCGAAAGTCTTTGAACATATATTATCAAAGAGGGACTAATGGGGGCCATGACCCCCTCAAATTTTAAAAATTATAATTTAATCTCTTACAATCTTCAAAAAATTTAATTGAACCCTCTAAAATCTTTAGAAATTCAGATTAAATTTTAAAAAAATTTAATGTTCTTAATTAAATCTCCTCCTATAAATTTTAAAAATTCTCATTAACTCTATCAAATTTTCAAAAATTTTAGTTAGACGCTATTTTTTTTTTTTTGAAAAATATAAACTAAATCCTTCAAAAAAATTAAAATTTTAATTTAAACCTCTGATTTTTTACAAAAGTTTAAGTTGTCCCCAAATTCTATCAACAAGTTTCACCACTATATTTAGTCTAGATTTATAAAAAATATTATTTGTTAACTAACAATTTTCATCAATAATAAGATTTGTTTATCATAAAATAAAATATTGGAGGCAGAATACTTTAAGAAACCAACATATTTATTTTGTTAAAGATTTAACGGCTAATTTTAACATTATAATTTTATTTTTCTCGGTTAAGCTTTTGTTAGTAAAAAGAAATTTTATATATAGATATCAAATGTAATTTTTAACCCAAAAAAGTAAATCAAATTTTAATTTGAATAAACTCTCCTAAAAATCAAATTAAATCGAGGAAAATAAAGAGATTTATTTCTAAAAAAATCAGATTTAAATAGATTGAAAATCTAACCTGATCCGATACGTTGCATCCCTGTATAAATCTCAATGTCCAGATTGTTCATTTATTAACAAGATGCTAAGATACGAGGGTAGGTAACAGAGTTTTAAATTACGGTCGTGTTTTTGGTTATTTCGAATTTATCGTGATTGCGGTCGTCGCGAGCTCTATTATGATTATAGCGGAAGTTATTGCGATCATCGCGAATAACTCGAACAGCGACGAAACCATTATATCGCGGACGAAATCACGATCGCATACCGTTTTTTAAAATCATGGTAGGTAGGAGCGCGAAATGAAGCACGTGGCGCAATGGAATCCACCAAGACAGAAACTGAACTACAGACAGAGAAATGTAGACTGCGATTATCTTTATGTCCACGAGGCATAAATCAGATTGCAAGACAGATGTGAATCCAACGGTCCAAATATGTAGGAGGTACAAGAGGATAGGACCAATTATGATGAAAAGTCATTCCTTTGCCTGCTTATGAACATACTTCTTGTCAAACTGTTTTTGCTAAGCATCTTTTGGCTTCTCTCTTTCTAGTAGAAGACAGACATGGCGATTGGAGTTAAGGCATTGCATTTGTCGGTTGTGCCTCACGTGCTCGCCATTGCCGGCGCCGTCATGGTTTTGGTTTGGAATATTCACTTCAGAGGTGGATTAGCTTGGGAATCCTCCAACAAAAATCTCATCTTCAATGTAAGTTTTCTTTCCCGAATTCCCGTGTTGTTTATCAAACTCAAATTTTTATTGCTTCTGGGTTTATATCTTCTTCTTAATTGTTCCTGGAATCTTAAACTTTAAAGCACTCAATTAAAGAAGACCACAAAGATGAATTGCATTAGGCAAGCTGTTTGATTCTTAGATGGGGAAGGTTTACTCTCAGTATAAAAGGTCAGTATATAATTCAATTATGTATAGCTAGAGATATTAACAAGTCGGATTAAGTTTTTGCTCAATTCGATCCATCCGACAATCATTTTCTATCTAAATTTAACTCAACTTGACAAATATACACTATTCACCGGACTCAACTTAACCTGAATAGCATATTCTCTCCATCCTAATCCGATCTAATATGATTTTTTAGAATAAAAATTATTATCCGACTTTACTTGATATAAATATATATAAGAAATTATTAAATAAAAGAAAATTTTAATTAAAAAGTTTTATAGAGAGGATGTATTATAGTAATTATGTCTAAATTTATAAGAAAAATAATTCCGAATTGGATTGGTTCAAAAAAATTTATCCTAAATTCGAACTTAACATATCCTCTCAGAATTGATTAATTTCATGTGAAATTACCATCCCTATGTATAGCCGGTGAAGGGATTCTAAACTGTCTTTCATTATCTCTCAATCTCTAATCTAAGTCGTGTTTTTTATTTTGGCAAAATATGGTGGTGCGTGGCGAATGTTGATCTGCGGAAGTAGAGCTACAGCTGTGGTAGTTAGGACTTATAGCCATGTGTTTCTAATGAAGATTACCCTACCTGCCCACCTGCCCTCCATTTTTTCTGTATAAAAAAATATTTACTTTTTGTGTGCAGATCCATCCTGTGTTGATGTTGATTGGCTTCATTATCATAGGAGGTCAAGGTAATTAATCCAACATGCCTTTTTCTTTTCTTACTGATAGATAAACAGAACAAATTTTCCAATATTACCAAAAAAATGCAGCCATTATGAGCTACAAGGCATTGCCATTGAAGAAGGAAGTTAAGAAACTAATACATCTTGTGCTACATGCCATTGCTCTAATCCTGGGCATTACTGGAATATATACTGCATTCAAGAATCATAATGAGAGTGGGATACCAAATCTCTACAGCTTTCATTCTTGGCTTGGGATTGGAGTCATTGTCCTTTATGGCATTCAGGTACTAATACCAATTTACATCTTCATTATATCCTAGGGTGCGTTAAATAGAGATGTAAATGAGACGAGACAAATTTTACTTTATTCAAGTTTAATTCGGTCAAAGCTCAGTCAACACTCGATTTGAATAGACTCGACTTGAGTTTAAACTCGACTTGAGTTCTTAACAAGCAGAAGCTAACTACTTGATACCCGACTTGAAAAGTTGATCAATAATACTCAAATTTGACTCGTCTCATTTACAATCCTAGTGCCAAATTTCATTACTTGAAAAAGCATAACCAAGTTCAATGAGCACCCAAGGCAGTGTTTTTGAAATGGAAAAAATATGAATTGCAGTGGATATATGGCTTCCTCGTGTTCTTCTACCCTGGAGGATCGACCGGATTAAGAAGGGAATCCCTTCCGTGGCACGTGCTGTTGGGGCTTCTTGTGTACATCTTGGCTGTTGGCAATGCCAGCTTGGGGTTCCTGGAGAAGCTTACATTCCTGGAGAACTCGGGGCTGGACAAATATGGTGCTGAGGCCTTCCTTGTAAACTTCACAGCTATTGTCACAATTCTGTACGGGGCATTCGTTGTGTTTACGGTTTTCTCCATTGCTCCTCAAGAGGATGACTACAGCTATTCGTCTATATAGTTTGATGTATGAATCTATATCTATATCCATGTATCGCTTAATGGTGTATATCTGTGATTATCTGTATTTCTAGACAAAGTTGTTGTGATCAATAATATTGGTAATTTGTGGGACCTTATAGCTGTAATTGAGGATTCACCAACATAATAACCCAATCTTCATACTTCTGTTAGGAGCACAAACTTATAAAAGTTTAGGAAGAACGTATTATCAATAAAAATTATAATTATTTTTAAATACATGATAATTTGAACTTTTCAGGATAACCGTCCTATCCACTCTTCCATCAATCCTTATGTATAACTAATGATCTAAAAGAAAATTTTACTAGATTGAACTTCAATGAGTAGGGGTTTAAATTTCGCTTCATTATCATCATATCATTCAATTCCATCAATGAAGCTATTTCAAAACCATTACCATTTCCCTTTTAACCTTCAATTTCTTAATCAACTTTGACACATGACTAGGGCTCCGTCTCCACACCTATACCAAAATTGATAATGTTATTATCTTCGCAAAATTTATAGTAGTATATATATACATACATATTAGAACAACAGTTGAACTTGGAAGTACCTTTTTCATGGATCTTCTATTATATTCTTTTTCAGTGTAGACTAGCATATCTGTATTTCTACTTAGAATCAATCTGTTTTAATAATTCAGATAATTTGTCTCCTCTTCAAACTTAATAATCATGTCATTAATTATTTAATCAAAATAATTCCATGCATTACAAATTTATTTAGATGATCAACTAATATAAATTATTTTATGCATTACAAATAAATTTATGGTATATTTTATATTGTAAATTTAGGGGTAATAAATTAAATTATCAACAAAAATACAAAAAACTATTAAATTATATGAAAATTTAAATTTCAAGATACAATTGTATTCCAAGTTCCAACATTAAAAATTTTCTGTCTTTTTTGTATACCCTTTTATATGCCCCGCTAATGATATAATACTACATGTATTAATGAATTATATTTAAAGCAATAACAGTTTATTATCAATTTTTTTCTTCTAACTTTTACTTTCTCTCTCTTTTTACCGTTCTGATCGTCTCCTTTACCCCCTCTCTAGCTTAATGTTTGGGTATAACTAGAGGGAGCAATTTGTATACATAAACCTTTGTTTTTTTGTTATAATTGGAATTTAAATTCATAATTCTAGGCTTCAATATATATATTTGATACCTATGTTAAACATCTCTTATCAACTTGATACCTAAAGAATTTTTACTCTCTAGTTGTGTAGACACTACTTTTCGCCCAGCAACCTCTCCCCGGAGATCGCGACACCAACATCACCAAGTCAACAAAAAAAATCGGTGCCTACCATTACCAGCATGTCTGCCACCACCACCCTTGCCAGCTGCTCTTGCAAAATAACAGAAACATCATCACACACACAAGTGGTATTTTTTTATATATTTAAAAATCAATGCAAAATGGCTATAAAAGCCGAATCATAACGAAGAGAAGGGGCAATTTCTCTCGGTTTTTCAGCAAGAAAAAATAGCAATAAAATACAAAAAATTTCAACAATCGAAACACGTTTATTCAACAATCAAAGGAGAACTTAAATCCTAAGCAATTAAAGACAACCGAAAAATTAATTGGTACCGAAATGGGGGTTCAAGGGTGCTAATCCTTCCTTGACCGTAACCGACTCCCGAACCCGACACATTTTTGGTAAAACGTAGATCAGATAAGATAGTGTCCGATCCACCTAACAATTTTTTAAATGATCGGTGGCGACTCTTTTTCAATTCTATTCAACTTAATTTCAAAATCCCTAATTTTTCCAAATTAAAGTCGTGACCGTTTTTAAAACAAAAATAATTGTTCCACCCGAAAAATGGTTATGACAGCTTGGCGACTCCACTATGGACATGTAAGTGAGTCAGGCTGAAATTAATTTTCGGTTGTCTTTTTGAGTGAAAATTACAAGTTTAAATTTTAATTTATTTATTCGATTCTAATTATTTATCATTGATTATTTTTCAAATAAATAGTTGTACCGACGCTTTTCTAGATGATTTCAGATTTTTCAAAATTTTCATCTTAAGCTCTATACCCGAGCTCCGAACCCTTTTAAGTGGGGGTAAAAGCAACGTCTTCATGGGAATTTGTTCTCCGTATGGGTGTAGCAAGTAACCTTCAGGATTCATATACCTTATGTCATCGTGTGAATTTATTCTCTGTATGGGCATAAGGGAATGTTTCCTCTCGATTTTAACTTAGTCCACATAAGCTTGTAATGGGCTTAGGACTAAGGGTCTGGCAAGCCCAAGGGGGCACCAACAAGGAGAACATGGGTACCTTTCTTCAGAAACTAAACCAGGAGACTACAGGGAATTAGAGCATACCCCAAAACCTCATTTCAAACCCTAGGATGCTTTGAGATTATTTCCTATTTTATTTTCTGTTCAAAGCATGTGAACTAGAAATTTATGCGGTTAGGACTGGTTCAAAATTAACATGTGGGATAAAGATCATGTCCGGGTAAGAATAATAAGCATGTGGGGTAGATATCATGTGGGGTAAGACTTTTCATTTTCATTATTGTTTTTGATTATTATCCTTATATCCCTAACTTTTTCCTTTCGTTTTTGTTTTCTTTCTTTTTATTTCATCATTTGCATCATTCAAAGGAGGTGTTGATCTACTAAAACGTGTTCGTTAAACCTAAAAATTTTGTATTAATGGACAAAGGGGTTGTAATACAAGAGGTGAAAAATGTAGAGGTCCGGTTATGGTTAGGGAGACAATCTGCAAGACAATTCAACCAAGAAGATGTGATACCCGTAATCGAAGAATATGACACTCTGCTGCATTGTAAAGGAATCAGAATGGACCAGGATTTACATCGAGCACACCAAAAGTCAACTTCTTGAGCTGGCAAAGGTTGCAGGGGTAGACGGGAAAAATGTTATTGACCTGGGAAGTCCTTTCGAAGACGACAAGGACAAGATGACGAAGCAATAGCTAAACCTGAAGGCCATTGTTGACGAATTCAAGAAAGAATCAGATGAACTTCGGATAGCTCATATCGATGGAAGGCTCCAATGGTGTTTCTGTTATGAAACAGGTTCAACAAATGTGCAGTCATTCGATACTCTAGGAAAAAGTACAAAAAATAGCTCTTCACTTGCACGGTTTAGCCAGAGAATCTGAAGCGTTTAGACAAGGTATTCAACTGGTGAAAGAAGAAGGCAGAAGATGAGTCAACCTGTCAGAAATTGTTCGGGGTTTAAAAGACTTGGTGTTTTGTTGTCTCTTAAGAAATAACACTTTTGTCCCAATAAAAATTATTTATAATAACAAACATGTTTTCAGATCAATGCTTCGAATATTTCATGCATTTTTACATCTTGCATCTACATTTCATTTTTAAGCATTTTCATAAACATGAAATTAAGTCACGGAGGATTCGATGAAGTGGTCCTAATCACGTGTCACCACATGAAAGCAAGATTCGAACAACTAAAGAAAAAAACTGATATTAGTACGGTGGAAGTTTGTTCAACAGGTTGTAGGATTGAGCCTTCTATGATGATCTAAGAGAAGAGTTCCCATTCCCTACGGTTTATGATGTTGAAGCTGTATGCAGTTACTACATAGGAAACTCCAGATATTCTTCTGAGAACTGTAAGGCACTGAAGTGCAAGATCTAAAACCTGATGGATTCAGGTGCATTGCATCTACCATTTGCACAGAGAGCATTGTTTTGTTTGAACACGTTTTTTATCTTTCATATTTGCTTAATCTTTTAAACGACTGAATTTATGTTGCCTTTTAAGGTGGAATAATTGAACAAATTTTAATGTTTAGTTCTTTGAATATCGAATGAATTAAAGATTCTTTTAATTCTTCAAGAATTATAGATTTTTGACATATGGCAAGATCAGACTTTTCTTATCATGTCTAAAACAAAAAAAAATCCTTCGATTTTTTACCCAGAATAATTCATGAAGATATAAAGAGTCATACCCATACCTTTGAGTTAATAAAGTCACACCATCGTCTTTTTAGACGTAAAACCAACATTTTTTCCAATAAAACTTAAGGCATTGAGTTGTTCATTTGAGCATTCTTATAAGATACAACTTGGGGCATCTCGCAGGGAGTCTGAACATTGAGACGTGTTGGGAACAAGAAGCAAAAAGAAGAATTCATTTGAAATAATTCTATCATGCATGAATTATACTGTTTTCATGTGAATAAAATTAATCCTGAAAAATCTATCCCCATGGGGATACCTCTTCTGTGAGGACTTTTGTGTATGAGATGATGAATGGCTTTGTTCATTTATCTATATATGTATATATATATCCCTTATTGTCCCCAATTGAGCCTATAGTATTTTTCTTCTGATTCAACCCTAACCAATGATCACCCTCCACACTGGGGGCAAGGTGGAAAAATTCTGTTCACATGAGTGAAGACATTAATCTAGAGGAGATACCAAAAGGTGAACCAAATGCCAAGTGCGAGGATCCAATCAGAACAAAAAGAGAAAATGAGCAAAAAAAAAAACAAAGATTCTCTCGATTCAAATGACGCATCGAGATTCAAATTATGAGATTGATCAAGCACAATTATTCCAGAATCACTTCACTCAAAGATCATGGAGCATCAAGAAGAAATCAAGAGAAACGCATACGAGCATATTCAAATTGAACAAGAAAAGATTGAAGGCATCAGAATGAATTGATCCTTGGTTCAATACCCTGAAACACTTGTTTGGGCCTATTTATCATTTTCTTTCATAACTGTGAACCATGACCTACGTTACGTGCCTTAAAAGTCCTTTCTAATCATACATGGATTTCTAAACAGAAGAGGTTATCTTCAGATTTCATCTCGCCCATCAGGATTAATCTTTATTTGCAAAAAAGTTTTCTAAAATCTTTAATGCATGATAGAGAAAAATAACAAAGGGGGTTCAAGACGTAAATTCTGAATGACGTCTTGAAACCAAAGGAGGATTCGAGTTGAAAACCTAAAAGGTGGCTCGAATATAAAAATTGTGCAGCTGAGACGATTGCACAAATTCCTTGATAAGGCATCGCATAATCCGAGTGTGACCATGAAAGCTAGGAGTCGAAGAACACTTC